AATCACATCACAAGAAGGGCCCAGCTCAGGAAATGCTAATCATGAAGTGTGATTTCTTCCTTTCCAATCTGTATGCCTTTTATGTCCTTCTCTTGCGTTATTGCACTGGCTAGAAATTCTAACACTATATTGAAAAAGAGTGATGAGAGCAGTCATCCTTGCCTTATTCCCAATCTTGGGGGAAAAACTTGAGTCTTTCACCCTGAAGTACGATGTTAGTTTTAGATTCTTTTTGTATATGCTTTCCATCAAGTTGTGGAAGTTTCTCTCTATTCCTAGGTTACTGAGGTTTTTTTCTTTTTTCCATGAATTGGTGTTGGATATTGTCAAATGCTTTTCCTGCAGCGATTAATAACATCATAAGATTTTTTCTTCTTAACCTATTGGTATGGTGGATTACATTTATTGATTTTCAAATGTTGAACCGGTCTTACCTACCTGGAATAAATTGATTTGGTAATGGCATATAATAGTTTTGTAAATTGCTCAATTCTATTTTCTAAAATTTTTCTGAGACTCTTTGCATCTCAGTTTATGAGAGATATTTGTCTTTAGTTTTCTATTTCTTTTTACTTCCTATATTTGGTTTGGTATCAGGGTAAGAATGGTCTCATAAAATGAGCTGAGAAATGTTTTCTTCCATTTTCTGGAAGATGTATAAAATTGGTATTACTCTTTAAATATTTGGTAAAATTCTCTAGTGAAACCATCGACACCTGGGATTTTCTACTTCAAAGATTGTAACTGCAAATTCAATTTCTTTAATGGTTATATAACTACTCAGATTGTCCACTTCATCTTATTAGAGTTGTGTGGGGGTTTTTTTGCACAAAACAAGGTACTATTTACTGAAAAGAGAAAATATTTGAGTCTTACTGATGTGTTCTTTGCTTTTTACGCATGAAATAATTGTGAATAACAGCAAGAATGGTTCTTCTAGGGGGTGGAGCAGGCAGTTAAATGGTGTGGTGCAATTCAAACACGTGAAATTCTCATCATTTGGGTTATGCTCTTTGCAGAAGGCCTGAGTCCACAGTGTCTAGTTCGGTTGAGCCTTGGTCTCCCAGCAAAGTGTCATGGCACTGCAGGATTTAAGAGGGTGGGCTGAGCATGGTGTTTGGAGTCAGCCCTCAATTTCAAGCTCATGTCTTCCACCCACTAGTTGTGTGACCTTGGAAATGAGCCTCCATTTTACTTTCAGTACAATTCCCTTTGGGTGGGTGTTTAATAGGTTGCTAATGAGTAGTTGGCAACATGTATTACATATCACAAGGTGCTAAATGCATAGAAGGTACTCAATAAGTCTTACTTGCCTTCTCTCAGCCTTCTCCTCATGGTGTGTCCTTAAGGTACAGAGGAATTATGTTGGTGCTGATTCAAGAATTCTGAAGGTTGGCAGAGATAGGAGCTAAAGAAGGACATCTCTTTGTTTCTCTTTACGAAAATTTTTGGCTTTAAAGTGGACTGTTGAAAGACCCCAACGACAAATTTCATGGACATCACTTTATGTGTGTAGTTAGAATTGTTTTATCTATAAAGACTCTTTAGTGAACATGGAAAATCTGAGCATGGCTATTAAAATTTCTGTAAGATAATAGAGTAAATAAAACTATGGCAACATGTTTCTCTGAGTAATAGGCAGTCACAAAGCCATGGCCTCTCATTTTCCACCTTTTTATGGCTCCCCTAACTTTCTTTCTGTTCTTTTATAGAAAAATCTTAATTATGTTTCATAGATAAATTAGATTAAATAACTGTGTAATACTTATATAATACAGAAAATATAAAACATCATTTTGTAGTTAGACATTACAACTACATTTTCCCTCTTTCAACATATAGTTAAGATTTTATTATTATTACTCGACTTTAAGATATACATATATATAGTCTTTTATTGAGGTAATAATAGTTTATAATATCATATAAATTTCAGGTGTACATCATCATATTTCAATTTCTGAGTAGACTACATCATGTTCACCACCCAAAGACTAATTATCACCTGTCTCCATACATATGTGCCCTTTTACCCATTTTGCCTTCCTCCCTCCTCCCTTTCCCTCTGGTAACCACCAAGCTAATCTTTATATCTATGTGTTCGCTGTTGTTGTTGTTGTTGTTTTTATCTTCCACTTATGAATGAAATTATATGATATTTGACTTTGTCTGACATATTTTCTTAGAATGATACCCACAAGATCCACCCACGTTGTCACAAATCACAAGACTTCATCTTTTGTTATGGCTGAGTAGTATTCCATAATGTCTATACACCACATCTTTCTTATCCATTCATCCATTAACAGGCACCTAGGTTGTTTCCAAGTCTTGGCTATTGTGAATGATGCTACAAGGAACATAGGGGTGAATATATCTTTTTGCATTTGTGTTTTCATGTTCTTTGAATAAATACCCAGAGGTGGAATAGGTAGGTCATATGGTAGGTAGTTCTATTCTTAATTTTTGATGAATCTCTATTCTGTTTTCCATACTGTGTGCACTTGTTTACATTCTCACAAGCATTGCGTGAGGGTTCTCTTTTCTCTACATTCTCTCCAACACTTGTTATTTCTTGTCTTGTTAATTATGGCCTTTCTGATGGGTGTGAGGTGATATTGCATTGTAGTTTTGATTTGCATTTCCCTAATAATTAATGTTGTTGAACATCTTTTCACCTGTATGCTGACCATCTGTAGACCTTCTTTGGAGAAATGTCTGTTCAGATCTGTTGCCCATTTTTTAATTGGGTTGTTAGATTTTTGTTGTTGAATTGTATGAGTTCTTTATATATGTTGGATATTAATGCTTTATCAGATATATGGTTTGCAAATATCTTCTCCCAAGTGTTAGGTTCTGTTTTTGTTTTGTTGGTTTTCTTTGCTGTGCAGAAGCTTTTTAGTTTGAGATAGTCCCATTTGTTTATTCTTTTCTATTGTGTCCCTTGCCCAGTCAGACATGGTACTTGAAAATATGCTGCTAAGACCGATGTCAAAGAGTATGCTTATGTTTTCTTCTAGAAGTTTTATGGTTTCAGGTATTACATTCAAATCTTTAATCCATTTTGAGTTAATTTTTGTGCATGGTGTAAGATAATGGTCTACTTTCATCCTTTTGCATGTGGCTGTCCTGTTTTCCCAACACTGTATTTTGAAGAGAGTTTCCTTTCTCCATTGTATGTTATTGGCTCCCTTGTTGAAAATTAGCTGTCCATAGATGTGTGGTTTTATTTTTGTGCTTTCGGGCCGGCCTGGTGGCTTAGCGGTTAAGTGCTCGCGCTCTGCTGCTGGCAGCCCGGGTTTGGATCCCGGGTGCACACCGACGTACCGCTTCTCCGGCCATGCTGAGGCCGCGTCCCACATACAGCAACTAGAAGGATGTGCAACTATGACATACAACTATCTACTGGGGCTTTGGGGGAAAAAAATAAATAAATAAATAAAATTATTTTTGTACTTTCAATTCTGTTCCATTGATCCTTGTGTCTATTTTTCTGCCAGTACCATGCTGTTTTGTCTACTATAACTTTGTAGTATATTTTGAAGTCAGGGATGTTGATGTCTCCAGCTTTGTTCTTTTTTCTCAAGATTATTTTGGCTATTTGGGGTCTTTTGTTGTTCTGTATAAATTTTAGGATTCTTTGTTCTATTTCTGTGAAGAATGTCATTGGGATTCTGATTGGAATTGCATTGAATTTGTAGATTGCTTTAGGTAATATGGACATTTTAACTATGTTTGTTCTTTTAATCCATGAGCAGAAGTATCTTTCCATTTCTTTATACCTTCTCTGATTTCTTTCAATAACATCTTATAGTTTTCAGTGTATAGGTCTTTCACTTCTTTGGTTAAATTTATTCCTAGATATTTTATTCCATTTTTTTTTTGCAATTATGAATGAGATTGTGTTCTTGACCTCTTTCTGCTGTTCGTTAATAGTGTATAGAAATGCAACTGATTTTTGTCAGTTGATTTTGTACTCTGCAACTTTGCTGTAGTTGATTATTTCTAATAGCTTTCTGTTGGATTCTTTGGGGTTTTCTATATATAGAATCATGTCATCTACAAACAGTGAGAGTTTTACTGCTTCTTTTCCATTTTGGATACTTTTTATTTCTTTTTCTTGCCTTATTGCTCTGGCCAAAACCTCCAGTACTATGTTGAATAGGAGTGGTGAGAGTGGGCACCCTTGTCTTGTTCCTGTTCTCAGAGTAATGGATTTCAGTTTTTCACCATCTATGTTGTTGGCTGTGGGTTTGTCATAAGTGGCCATTATTATGTTGAGATACTGTCCTTCTGTACTCATTTTATTGAGAGTTTTTATCCTAAATGGATGTTGGATCTTGTCAAATGCTTTCTCTGCATCTATTGAGATGATCATGTGATTTTTATCTCATTTTTTTAATGTGGTGTATCACATTGATTCATCTGTAGAAATTGAACCATCCCTGCATCCCTGCTATATCTCCCACTTGACCATAGTGTACAATCCTTTTAATGTATTGCTGTATTCTGTTTGCCAATATTTTGTTGAGGATTTTTGCATTTATGTTCTTCAGTGATATTGGCCTGTAATTTTCCTTCTTTGTGTTGTCACTGCCCGTTTTTAGTATCATGGTAATGTTGGCCTCATAGAATGAGTTAGGAAGCATTCTATCTTCTTCAATTTTTTGGAATTATTTGAGAATGATAGGCATTAAATCTTCTTTGAATGTTTGGTAGAATTCTCCAGAAGAGCTATCTGGTCCTGGACTTTTTTTGCGGGGAGGTTTTTGATTACTGTTTCAATCTCTTTACTTGTGATTGGTCTATTCAGATTCTCTATTTCTTCTTGATTCAGTTTTGGGAGTTTGTATGGGTCTATGAATTTATCCATTTCTTCTAGGTTACCCAATTTTTTGGCATATAGTTTTTCATAATATTCTCTTAGAATCCTTTGTATTTTAGTGTTATCCATTGTAATTTCTCATGTTTCATTTCTAATTTTATTTATGTGAAGCTTCTCTCTTTTTTCTTAGTGAGTCTGCCTAAGAGATTGTCAATTTTGTTTATCTTCTCAAAGAACCAGCTCATAGTTTCATTGATCCCTTCTACTGCTTTTTAGTCTCTATTTCATTTATTTCTGCTCTAATTTTTATTATTTCCCTCCTTCTGCTGACCTTGGGCTTTGTTTATTCTTCTTTTTCTGGTTCTGTTAGGTGTAGTTTAAGATTACTTATTTGAGAGTTTTCTTGTTTGTTGGGGTGGGCCTGTATTGCTATGAATTTCCCTCTTAGGACTGCTTTTGCAGCATCCCGTAAGAGTTGGTATGTGGTGTTTTCACTTTCATTTGTCTCCAGGTATTTTTTCATTTCTCCTTTGATTTCTTAACTCATCCAATGGTTGTTCTATAGCATGTTGTTTAGTCTCAACATATTTGTGACTTTCCCAGCTTTTTTCTTGTAGTTGATTTCTAGTTTAATAGTATTGTGGTCAGAAAAGATGCTTGATATGATTTCAATCTTCTTAAATTTATCAAAACTTACCTTATTTCTCAACATATAGTCTATCTTGGAGAATATTCCATGTGCACTTGAGAAGAATGTGTAGTGTGCTGTTTTTTGATGGAATGCTCTTTTTATATCTATTTAGTCCATCTGATCAAGTGTTTCATTTAAATCTAGTACTTCCTTGTTGACTTTCTGTCTGGATGATCTATCCATTGATGTAAGTGGAGTGTTCAGGTCCCCGACTCTTATTGTGTTTCTGATAATTTCTCCCTTTAGGTCTGTTAATAGTTACTTTACATACTTTGCTGTTCCTCTGTTGCACATATATTCATAAATGTTGTCTTCTTCATGGAATGTTACTTTTATCATTATATACTGCCCCTCTTTATCTCTCATTGTCTTTTTTATCTTCAAGTCTGCTTTGTTTGATATAAGTATAGCAACACCTGCTTTCTTTTTTTTGCTATTTGCTTGGAGTATCATCTTATGTCCCTTCACTCTGAGCCTATGTCTGTTTTTAGAGCTGAGCTGTGTTTTCTGGAGGCAGTATACTGTTCAGTCATGTTTTTTAATCCATCCAGCTACTCTGTGTCTTTTGATTGGAAAATTCAATCATTTACATTTAGAGTGATTATTGATATATGAGGCCTTAATACTGTCATTTTATTTCTTGTTTCCTGGTTGTTCTATATTTCCATTGTTTATCTTCCCTTGTGTTTCTGACTGCCATTTCAGTTTGGTGGCAGATTTTTTTATGGTTTTCTCTTTATTTATGAATTGTGGCTCTGCTCTGATTTTTTCTTTAGTAGTATCTGTGAGGTTTGTACAAAACATCTCAGAGACGAGATAGTCTATTTTCTGATAGCCTCTTGTCGCCAGTAGCCTATGCATGTTCCATCCCCTCCTTCTTCTCCTTCTGAGTTATTGTTGTCACAAATTATACTGTTTTACATTGTGAGTTTGTGACTAATTTGAAGTGCTTATAGTTATTTTTGATGCTTTCCTTCTTTTTCTTTTTTATGTTATAATTAAGTGTTTGGTAGCCTGTTCTGTGAGAGAGCTGCAGTTTTCTGATTTTGTCTGTATATTTATCTCCTTGTTCAAAGCTTTGTAGACCTTTGCCTTTTTGTTTCAGATGTGAGGGCTTCCTTCATCATTTCTTGTAAGGGAGGTCTAGTGGTGATGATCTTCCTCAGTTTTTGTTTATCTGTGAAATATTTTATTTCTCCAACATATCTGAAGGAAAGTTTCACTGGATAGAGTATTCTTGGCTGAAATTTTTTAATCTTTCAGTATTTTGAATATATCATTCCATTCTCTCCTAGCCTGTAATGTTTCTGTTGAGAAATCTATTGAAAGCCTGATAGGGGTTCCTTTGTAGATTATTTTCTTCTGCCTTACTGCCCATAATATTTTTTCTTGGCTATATATTTTATTGGCTTTTGCCAGTTTTACTATTATATGCCTTGGAGAAGGTCTTTTTGCATTGATGTAATTAGAAGTTCTATTGGCTTCATGTAATTTTAAGTCCAGTTCCTTCCCCAGGTTTGGAAAGTTCTCAGCTATTATTTCTTTGAACAAGCTCTCTGCTTCTTTCTCCCTCTCTTCTCCCTCTGGAATACCTATAATACTTGTGTTGCTTTTCCTAACCGAGTTGGATGTTTCTTGAAGAATTTTTTCATTATTTAAAAATCTTTGTCCTCTCTCCATGTCCACCTGAAACACTTTTATATTTCTATCCTCTAAATCACTAGTTCTGTCCTCAATAACATCAACTCCATTTTTTAAGGATTCTAGATTATTTTTTATCTCATCAGCTATGTTCTTCATATCTATATTTTTTTTGTATTTTTTTATGGTTTCAGTCTCTTTGTTGAAGTATTCTTTATGCTCATTAATTTTATTCCTGATCTCATTGAGCTATCTTTCTGAGTTTTTTTGTAACTCATTCAGTTCCTTTATGACAAATATTTTGAATTCTGTGTCAGTTAGATTGTAAATTTCTGTGACTTCAGGGTTGGTTTCTGGTGACTTGTCATTTTCCTTCTGCTCTAAAGTGTTACTATAGTTTTCATGGTGTTTCATGAACTGATCCTTTGCCAGTGCATTTTTTGTGGTACCAGCTCACAGATTCTACCTGCCACAACTGGGGGGAAGCAGAAGCTATGTTTTTGATCCCACCCCATCTACAGGAAGTTGTGCAGATATGGTGGGTGCTCTTCCACACTGCTGTGCTTAGTGGGCAGGGCTTCTTTGTATGGTCTGAGCTGGAGCCTCTCATTGGGGCTGCAATGGGACAGTGTCCGTGTGCATGCACAGGGCTGCTGCTGCCTCTTCTTCCAGTCATGCTGACATGCCCTTCCACTGGCAGGGCTGCGGCAGCATTTTGGGTGCTCCTGCAGACCAGGATAGCACGCACACACAAGACTGCTGCTTCCTTCTCTTACAGTCATGCCAGGGCACTTTCCCGCTGGTAGGGCTGCAGCAGCGTGGTTGGTGCTCCTGCTGACCAAGATAGCATTTGCATCTAGGCACAGGGCTGCTGCCACCTCCTCTTACATTTGCACCAGAGTACATTGCCACTGGCAGGGCCACTGCAGCACAATGGGTGCTTCTGTAGGACAAGATAGCGTTTGCATGCAGGCTGGGCTGTCTCTACCTCCTCTTAGAGCAGTGCTGGCCACTATGTGAGGACATGCAACCCAGCTCCCTGCTGTCAGGAAGGGGTAGGGGAGCATTCACCTATTTCCACCACTTCCCAGGGATTCAGTCCATTCTCCTTCAGATGTATAGCTGTGTGGATCTCTCAGATATCCTGCTGTGCTGTGTGGGTATCCTCCATTGGTCAATGAATGTGCTTTTAGTTGTAATTTGGAGGGGGAGAGACAAATGGAGTGGCTCACTCTGCCATGTTGCTGATGTCACTCTGGTTATTTATGTTTAGTATGATTCCATTATGGCCAGCAAAATTTTAAAATTGTTGAAGTTTTTTTGATAATGCTGAATATGTTCTCTCTTGGTACATGTTATTTGGGCACTTAAAAAAATGTGTATTCTGCTGCCATTCATGATGTGTTCAACATGTATCAATTATATCCTATTGGTTGATTGTGATGTTTATTTCTTCTACTATAATCTTACTGATTTTCTGTTTAGTAGTTCTATCATTTGCTAAGAGTGGGTTGTTGAACTCTTCAACTTTAACTGTAGATTTATTTATTTTTCCTTTCAGCTCTATCAATTTTTGGTTTATATATTTTGAGGCTCAGATTTTTGGTGATAAATGTTTAGGGTCATTATGTCTTCCAGGTGAATTGATATTTTTATCATCATATATGGTCCCCTTTTCTCCCTAATAATTGTCTTTGCTCTGAAGTCTACTTTAAATTAATGTTATTAGGGTATATATTTTCTCTTCCTTTTACTTTCAAATAACCTATATCATTGTATTTAAACAGTTGTATTTATTTACTTTTTTTTTTGTGAGGAAGATCAACCCTGAGCTAACATCCATGCTAATCCTCTTTTTGCTGAGGAAGACAAGCTCTGAGCTAACATCTATTGCCAATCCTCCTCCTTTTTTTCTTTTTCCCCAAAGCCCCAGTAGATAGTTGCATGTCATAGTTGCACATCCTTATAGTTGCTGTATGTGGGACGCGGCCTCAGCATGGTTGGAGAAGCGGTGCGTTGGTGCGCACCTGGGATCCAAACCCGGGCCGCCAGTAGTTTAGTGCGCGTACTTAACCGCTAAGCCACGGGGCCAGCCCCTGTCATTGTATTTAAAGTGAGTTTCTAGTGTAAAGTGTATGCATAAGTCATACTTTTGTTTTCCGCTCTGCCAATCTATTCCTTTTAATTGAGTATTAAGATAGTTTACATTAGAAGGTATTATTGATGTCCTAAGGGCTAAGTCACTTATTTTATTATTTGTTTTGTGTCTGATTCCTCTACTTTTTGTTCCTCTGTTCTCTTTTGTTGTTTCCCAATGAGTTACTTGAACATTTTTAAAAGACTTAATCTTGATTATTTATAATGCATTTGACTGTCCCCACCTCGCACTGCCTTGACTCTCATTTCTACTGAGGGAAGATGGGTGCTGATTGCTGCAGGACACTGCTAGTACTACCCACATGGGGAAATTGGAGCACTGCCTGCATCTACCAAGCAGGTAATGGAAGATCATCTTCTCACTTGGTCCCACTGATACTACCTCAGCAGGGGAATAGGATCACTGCTGCCATTTTTGGTGGACAGGGGATACAATATTGACTCCCTGTTCAGCACACTGATACCACTGGGCAGGTGAATCAGAGCACCAACACCTGCTTCAACCAAGCAGAAGATTAGCTCCATGTTCTGCCCAGAAAATACCATTGAAACTTCTGTAAGATTCCTTTGGTAGTGTGGAGGTAGATTGGAATATTAGCACCTTGCTTGGCCAATCTGAAATCACAAAGGGAATTTTTTTGTTGGTATTTGCCAGAAACAGGGCAGATACTGATAAAAAGGTTTTCTATTGTTAGGTCACTCTTTTCCTGGTTCTTTGGCTAGGGGAACCAGGCTTTTCTTGGGGATATCTTTACTGTGCTTATTGGCTGTTCTGAGTTGGAGGCATCTGCAGCGCCCTATGCAGGATATATTAGTGGCAGTAAGAAAAGTCATGGAATTAATTGCTGTATATTTCCTCAAATTCTAAGTTTTTTGGCAGTCCATCTTTTCATTCCAATGTTCAGAGTCTTCCTATGCTTGTTTGTTGTGTTGTTATACCCATGTTGTTTTAATTGTAAGAGGAAGGCCCTTAGAGAAATTGAGGTACTCCTTCTTGGCATGAATATGAAGTCTTTACTGAAATGCTTTATATCTCATTGGAATATATTTTATAAACAATGAAATGTGGCAGATTCTGGGATGATGGTGACAGTGTTAAAATAGTTAATTTCCCAATAGGAAAAGAGCAACTAGGAAAACAAACAGGCAAA